GATCTTGGTCACTGTGAACAGCGTGATGTAACTTGGGCTATCTACGAGATTTGTTTTGGAGAAACAAGGCCTCGTCAAGATTTCAAGGATGCAGACTTTGAATTTGATGACTATGGTCCTGAGGACAAGCGTGTTCCACTTACTCGAGCGAACATGCATACCATCAGAGTCTGTAATTATCATGTTGATACACACCGTGCTGTGGATGCCCACCTACTGACAGGAGAACAGACAGCATTGATGCTTTACGAGTGTTTTGTCTATGAGGTGGACATCATTTCTGGTGATGCAAATAGTTTGGCCTACAGAATGTCTGGGTACAAAAGGCAGCCAATGGCTAACTACTATTACAGCACCATGCAGCATTGGATCCGCAGGTTTTCAGAAGCTCGTGTCAAAGCAGATCCTGGTATCAAAGCACCTATTCCCAGAACATTTTACAGTTCTACTTCACAGGTCCTCAAGAAGTGTGAAGTTTACTTTGATAAACTCTGGGAAGAATACTCTACTGTTGAAAAAGAAGAATACCAAGGATCACAGCTTGGCGATACATGTTTGTCTACCATTGTTGAATGGGGTCATTCAATGAGTGAAGAGGAATATGAAACTTCCACAGTGAGCACGAAGGAGTTCATCTGTAATTTTTCAGAGAACTTTGCTATGATTGACACAGAGGTTATGTGCTCAAGGCCCACTGACGAGGACAGTCATGGTCCAATGTTTATTTCACTCAGACCAGCTTCCTTTTCATCTGGAGACAGAAGACAGTATCGCATGGGAGCAACGCTTCAAGAGGCGAACGTGCGGAGGAAGGAGAGACAAAAGCAGAATAGAAAGAAAGGAAGGCCGCCAACTTCTGATCAAGCAACTTCATCGTTTGCAGCGGCATAATTCCTGAGCGAAGGCTGAAATTTAAATGATGGCTAGGAAGTGAAGATACTTCTGGTTACAGTTGATACTTTGCTTCCAGGCTTGACTTTAAGTTGCCAGGCTGAAGTTTTAATAAATTCTGGTTTGCAATGAGGAGAAACTTTTTATCAAAGAAGATACTCCTGCATTCCAGGTTTATACGCTTTAGCATGTAGATAGGTATGGACAGTTTTACAGAACTGATGATATCTATCACCACCGCTCTTATGAAGTGACCTCTAATGGACAAGCAGTCATGGTTGATGATTAAGTCATTTCATGATTTGCAATTGTAGTGCAAGTTTTGTACATACATTTGCCGGTATCTCCTTCTTGTGTTTTTGATGTGAATGTGAAAGAGAGTCCTTTTGATGCAGTTTATTTTGTCTGTGAATGAAAGCGGTCGAGACCACGTCACGAGAAGATTATTCCTCGGACCGTACGCTCCTTGCATTTTGCAAGGCATCTTAATTCATTGCA